GAGTTATTTATGCGACAGGCTATGGGGCAACTGCCTTATAAAAGTGTCAAAAAGTTCGACTGCGGCTGGTTTATGCGTGCGATTAGCCACTGCGACTAGTCACTAGTGTGTAAATAATTATTTGATTAAATTGGGCTCACGATTGTTGCACTGCGAAAAATAATCATATAGATATCAGAAATAATTTTAAGATAGCTTAGAGATGTATAACTAAGAGAAATGTTAAGGGATAAGGTAATACCTTTGAGTGTAGAAATATAGACTGTATATATAGATGAATAGATTTTAAAGGTGTATAAAGAAGAATACATTTTAAAGGATATTGATATCGGAAAGATTTTCTCTTTTTCTTACGGTTTGTTCGACAGGAAAATGATCGAAATATATTATATCATTTAATAGATCGTTTTGGTTTCTAAAACTTGTGCATTTCATAGAGATATTCTTGCTGCGTGCGGTTCCGAGAATATTTGAGTGATGATGATGATTGCGGCTGTGATGGCGGCCATAAAACTCGTTTCTCTGGCCAATTTAAACGTCAAACGTTAACGTTCGGGTTAAATGCACTTAGCCAACACGTTGAGGTGCGTTTAAGCGAAAGCCTAGATAAGTCGAAAGGCTGGAGTGGTGGAAAAGGGGGAAAGGGGAAAGGCCGGAGAAGTGTGCCAACGCATTGGCCAAAAACGTGTTTTTTTCGGCCAGCGACCGCATTTGGCCATAAACAACCAGCATAAACATTGCAATTTGCGTTCGATTCGCATTCGCATTGGCAGTTGGCAATTCAATGCGATCGAGAGCCCAAAAAACTGCCGCGAAAAATCGGCGTAACCGAGATGGAAATTATAATCATTTACAATATATTGAAATTAATTGACAGTTGAATTGTCAGATCGTTTGCAGAATTGTTTATTTGCGCGTCCGCTGCAACTCGGTGGCAGTTTACTAATGGTAATGACTGTAATTCCATGGAAACTGAAAATTGATATTGTGCCTGTCAGTGGTTGCGGTTGTGGTTGCATTATGCCAACCGATGTGGCAGCCGCAACTGCCCCCCAAACATGGTCAAAAACATACGAGTCCGAATCCGAATCCAAATCGAAACGCATTTGGGGCCCCGAATGGTGGCCGCTAAGTGCGTAAGTATTTGTTGGACGAGATGTTTTCGCCGATTCTTTTGGCCATCGGAATTTGGCTTTAATCATCGGTGTAAAAGTAAGAGGGGTATGGTATAGGAAAAAAGTCTGATCCCAAACCAATCTATATTTTGAAAGCCTTATCATAACATATTCCACCTTAAAGTTGCAAATTGAAAGTATCAACTAATCAACTAAGTTAGAATTTGTTCCTTTTTCTTTCAATTCTTCTTCCTGTTTTTCCTACCTCAACTAACATTGAATCATCCCTAGCATATTGCACCCTTAAAAGAAACCCACTAATTGCACTCTTTCTTTTTATTATTCCTACCCCTTATAATCCATTTCCAGCTCTGCCTTGCCTATGAAATAGATGAGAGTTTATTGCCCTTTGCTACCATATAGGCATATGGAATTCAAGTATATCGTAAGTACGAGTCTCCAACAATGGGGGTAAAAAAGTTTCCCACACACCGTCAACGGGGTTCACATGCAATTTTTCCATTAAGCTCCAAACTTGAGGCGAACTGCAAGTTGGACTTGCAACATTTGGGATCTGCCCCCGAACATCTATAATACATAAGTCCGCAAACCCTACGACTTGGCCCCCAAAAGAAACGTGTTGATTACCAGCCCCGTTTTCCCATTTCCTTCCCCCAAAAAAACTACCCACAAAATGTCGTCCATATCGCAACGCATTAAACTCGGAAAGTTAGGAGTGTGTGGAGCTTCCATTGTAGGGTGGGTACAACTTTGTGACCCTAAAAAGTAATAGAGGTTCGGTTTGAGCTTCGATAGAAAGTTTCGCTTTTGCCTTTGACTGGCATGCAATCTGGGTTCGTTCAACTGCGAAAATACAAATTGCATAGACCGTCGAACGTTTATCAAAATTGCAGCATATTTGTGCCGAATACCTAAATAATTAGCCAGCTTTCTAGGTATTCAAACAATGCAAAGGGATGGGCAATGCAAGTGATTAGGCTATAGCCTTGTTACATACCTAGTAAAATTATTTTAAAGGCTACTTATGCTATACAAATGACACAGTTTTCCTTGCATTTAATATTTAAGTTTTGTATTTTGTGTGCCACATATATTATATGGATTAGCTTTGATTTTCCTTTAGCTTTTAATAAATTTACTGCCTAATACAATGTTTTTGGCATCTGCAGTGACCATAAAATGTTTATATTCGGATGGTTTATAAATATACCGTATATGTACTATACCATTTGGATTACATGTGTACTAGCTTACAAAGTGTATAGAAAAACATTGAATTTGTTGACAGAAAAAGCATGGTGTCATTACCATATTTGTACTTTCCTTTACTTTGTTTTTTTTGAAAAATATAAATCAGATCAATCTAAAATTTATAAATCCTCTTCCCTTGCCATCATTATAAAATAATTCAATCAATAATCATTTTGCCAGCTCTACTTTAAATCCACTACTATAATTTTTTTGTTTTTCTAGGGACTTCAGTTAAGCTTTCATATTCGAGATTACTGCGTTTTACATCCAAGTAAATTGCAGTGAATTAGTAAGCAACTCAATGGATTTAATTAGGCTTGGCCCAGGCAACTTCTACAGCGGCGGATTATTAATTAAGACGATCTGCCGACAGTCATTTAAGATTACGCGAAGGTTATGGCTGGATATGCCTCATCGAGTATCTGGCTAGCAGATGAGCTGTTTATATTGAAATAATTACATGTCTCGATAATGTGTGTTGATTCTGGCCATACCCTTTAATTTTCATTATTTCCATATCGTTCTAGTTGATCTCAGATTAGTCATTTTTATTGAGGTGGGCTCGAGTGGTCAACTGGGTTTATGCCACTCAAAGTTGTCATTTGCCACGCCCACGCTACATAAACACAAATAAACTTTTAGTTGATGACATGACCAGATATGCGGCACGCTTTTTCAATGAAATTTTTGAGGTAAGTCCAAGTAATTGCTGAGACTTCGGTATAAAAATTCTTTTTACACCCCTTTCTGCGTAATGAGAAAATTTCCAGAAATAAAATAAGAGTAGCATTTTTCATTTCACCACATTTTTCTTGGCTATTTATGAAATTTATTTTCTCTGCATATTTAAGGTTGAGAAAATATTTTCGTTCTCATTACCGTCGACCGTCGTGCATTTGAAGTAAAAATAAACATCAATGAGCTGAGGAAAAATATCGAACAAAGTGGAGGAATAATAATAAATCATGGAAATTTAAGAACATATTGTATTCGCTCTTTTCTCTCTTAAAGTGCAGGTATTTCAAGAGGATTTCATCTGTCCAGACAATTGCACTGATAATGCGAAAAATATTAACGCAGTTCAGACAGATGGCCATGTATTTCAAAAGACTTATCAATGGGGTCAGTCGTAAATAGCAACTTATTATCAAGGATTACTTTTGATTTTATTTTTCTTGAAATGGATTGTTTTTCTTAGTCTATTGACCAACTTGAAAATTAAAATCTATTTTTCTTAACCTAAAATAAAAATTATATTTTCCATAACAACAGTTTAATTTTCTTTAATATTGCAACACCTTTAAATAATTTGGTAAATGTACGTCATTTTTTTTACACAACTTTCCCAAGTCTTCATCAACCGTCAAATACTTTAATCTGACTGAGTTTTCCCCCCATTTTCCGCATAAGCGAACCCTTTTGACTTGGTTCACTGAACTCAAGCTCGTTTTGCTGCACATTTAAATGGGAAATCACGCCCAGGCACTTAAGTAACTCCGAGCCACCCGAAACTCCTTCTTCACTTAATTAGCTGCCATTTTATGCAAGTGGACGAATGGAGCTCTTGGAACCCACCTGTATTGAAAAACATCAGCAGGGATAGAAGGCCGAGCAAAAGGCAGCCTGTTGAACCGTAGGATGTCATGATTCCTCTTTTTTTATATTCCTTAGTGGGAAATGTTAGCTATATCACTGCACAAGCACTGCACTACAAAAATGGTTGAACTTTTTATTTCCCTTGGCTTCTTATATTCCAAAGTAATTTTCGGTTAGCGCGATTTTCCGAACACGCATGCGACCCGTTGACAAACTGACTGCGAACTGAAACCGAAACGAACTGAAGCTGAGAACTGAACACTGAACACTGAATACTGAATGCTACGCGACAGTTGAACCAATAACAAAACGAACCCAACCCCAACGCACACGAATCGCCATGAGAGAGATCGTTGAAGGCGGTCGATTGAAAGGCTGGAAGTCAGCCAAGCGATTGAAAGAGTGCCGCTTTCAACGAGAAGAATACTATTTGGGGGTCCCATGTTGGGGGGGGGGGGTTATATCTGCTATTCGGTTGCGGATTGGGTTGAGTGGATTCGAGTGGAGCGGAGCTACGCTGGGTCGGGTTTAGGAGTTTACAGCTCCGCGATATGGCTGCACTTTTTTAATGGTGCCCGCAAACACTTGCAGTTTCAGAGGCAGCACAGTGGGGCAAAGTAGATACATTTTGAACATCTTTTAGATCTCAAAACCCTAAAAAACTATCCTTATTTCTTATATCCTAAAATTCGTCTCAGAACATAGAGCTCCCCAAAACGTTTAAATTAATACTTAATACTTAATAATTACATAAAAAACAACAAAACTTTAAAAATCGAAGAACAAACTTTTTAGCCGAATGCCTCTACTATCAGACACCTATTACTCTACCTTTTACTTGCAGTTGTATAGCGCCACCTAGCGGTGTTTAGTTACCATTAAAAAAAATAGTACATATTTGGGGTTTTTTAGAAGTGGCATACGATTTTTATAAAAAAAAGTTGACTCTATACTATATATTTTTATAAACTGCAAAGAGGAATTAAATAATAAGACGTTTACGAAATATTTGTCGGTTTACAATTAACAAAATATACATACATATAACAATTTAAAAACTTTTATCTGACAATTGACTAAAGCGCCGAACGAAAGTCAATGGAATTCGTTCCTTTCTGTATTTGGTTCCGATACAGGTACTTCCTCCGACTCCTCCCTAAACTCATTTATTTTAGACTGCACTATGTTCTTGTTAGACTCAATTTCCACTAAATGTGATACCAGTTTCCTGTACAACCGGGAATCGCTGGGATTGTCTCTTAGGTTGACAGCAGTTTCCGCAGTAAGACGACCTACTGCATCAAACACATTGGAAAGAGTGGCATGGTAGCCCTGAGCAGTTTCCAGTGTACTTAGGTTGTTCCATTGCTCAGCCAACTTACTGTTGCAAGACTTTAGAACGGTTGAAAACTGGGGACGGCCTACAGGAGGTATAGCCGAGTCGGAGGATCTGGGTGAAACAGAGGTGAATGAGGCCGAGGAGGATCCTTCGGAGTAAAAGGCATCGGTTATGCCAGTTGTCGTTGGAAAAGTGGGTTGGGGTGTGGCACCCGTCATGGCCAACCACCTGGCCGCAAGACCACCAGATCCCTCCGTGGGACGAGCTGTCACTACAGCCACCTTCTCATTGGGTTCTCTCTAAGTGGTATTTACTTTGTATCAAGAAGTTTAGTCTACGCTGATTCCAGATACTTGCCATTACCTCTTTAACTTGTCCCCAATTCGAAGAGCCTGCAATCTCCACTTTTTCTAGTCGCGACATTGTTTTGGTTTAGGGATAACTAGAATTTGATCGCTTTAAATATTGTTTACGTTACTGGAAAAATAAGAACGTGTCTACGTTTGAATGGTGTAAAACTACACTGAATTTTATTTGAATGCTAAGCTGATCACAATATTTGACCTTGTTATTTCGGAGAAATAGTCTTGTCGTACCCCCAAAAAACGAGGTTGGATAAATGATCGATCGGCAGAAAGAATATTTATTATTCACCTTACAGTTAAAAAGTTAAAGTTAAAAATTTCTGGAATTGGATAAGAAATTAACTTTAATCTAAATAAATTCTGGTTAAAATACGGTTCGACCCCCAAGAAGTAAAATAATTGTAATGTTAAATATATATCTTCGTAAAAAAAATGTTTGCAAGAAGGAACGATTTCTCTGTTAACCAAAAACAAAATAAATATGATAAATATATGATACGGTTAATATATTGTTAATCAATATGATGAATATTTGATTAATGATCATTAGACAATTTTAAAACTATAGCTGTGTGTTTTCATATTTATTTGTGTATTATAAAGTCTATATAAGTGGACCCACTGTGCGCTGCAGTCGATGTGTTTTGCCGGACCATTTGACGCCTAATGGCAGCCACCGTCGCCGTTTCAATCGTCATCGTCACTCTGGTTCCCCTCATACTTTTCCACTGCAATATTCCACAATATTCACATCGATTTGGCCATCAGTGTCGCCCGTCTAATCAAGTGCAACTCTCTGATAAGGAAATGTATTCGGTTGAGGGGGAATATTCGGCAGGGGAAGTATTGGCTTTGCAACCAAGAAATGTTGCAAGTACTTTATGCTTTTTCAATTGCAGTCGGAAAGTGTGGGTATTTGGAGGTTTTGTCTTTTATTGCCTCTGCGGTTGAGCGAGTGCGTTCGAATTTAATAATGTTTGTCTTTCGTTTGGTTTAGTCGTCAACAACAGGATTTTTTACGACTTTTTGTGCGAATCAAACTGATACGAGTTAGTTATGAAAGCGTTTTACTAGATGCGTTTTATAACCGAAGAAGAGTGGATTTAACGTTAGTTTTATTACATTTTTTAATATTTTGGAGTGGAAGGAAACTTTATGTTGGGTTTCTGTAATTTTTCGAATTTTTTTGGTACTTTTTATATATATATTTATACTTATTAGATACATAGATACATAGATACATACATATGTACCTCTTGGAGGAACTTTATGTAAAAATACAATACATATATAGAAAATACCAAAAATAAATATTGGTTGTTTGAAGTACATTTCATACCACCACGGATTTTTTCTAAGTTCAATTGTTGTCCAAAACCAAGAAAGACAAGTTCAATGGCCAGACAAATAATCGGCTAATCACTTGTACCTCAAACCAAAACACCTATTGAAACTCTATATATTGTACCAGTCCCTCATAATGCCAAAAACTTTCCCTCCAACATAAACAAGGCTTCAAATCTAACAGTCAATATAGTACGTTGACATGAAAAATGAGTTGAGAAGGTTCATTGAACACGAAAAGTGTCACTTCAGTGAAGGAAATCCAATAAACTACGCCTCCTACGATAAATTAGGGGGATGATTAGGCAGAACCCTATAGGGAAAGGTCGAAAGAACCCTCCAATAGATTGATTGTTCTAAGTAAATAGATATGCAATCTTAAGAAAATTGGACAATGACGTGTGCGTTGACTTAGGTACTTTCAATGATTAGTCGAAATCCTTCCCGATTTATTGACAAAATTCGTTTGTTGGCAGGCAACAAATTAGAAAATAATTAGAACCTACTCCAGAAAATCGATCAAAGGGAGTTGAGTTTACTAACAACTTATGTTGGTCATTATGCTGAAAGAAGTTTAAGGGCAGCAATTAGGAAGACAGGTTATGAATAATATAATAGAAATTCGATAATTAAATTGATGAATGTCTGGAAACTTTCCGTACACATCAAAATTATATTTAATCCGATCTTATCACGTTTTACCATTTCCGTCGTCCAAATCTTGTTTGCTCGAACAATTCTCATCTGCGTCTCAGTCACCGACAATCATTATGGCAAATTGCGGCTGAAAACAGTTTCGCTTGCTTGACTAAATAATAAACCCTAATTATAGGTGGGTTTACATAGCAACTCCAAAGAAATCGCAGCTTAAAGCGCTCTTTTTTATCTGAGACAATTTGCTTACAACGTTGATTACAAAAGCGGAAATTGGCAATTGCCTGGCTTCAAAATTTTAATTCCTGGTAATTAAGAAATTAAAAATGTTAAATAACCCAGAAAGAAAAGATAGTTATTAAATCCAATTAGTTAAACTTCTTAAAAATATGTTTAAAACATATATGATAATATTAAAATATATAGTTAAAATATAAATGTTAAATTAGAAATTATTTAAATATTGTCAAAATTATTGTTAAATAAAAAAATAAAAATAAATTTGTAAATTCCAGGAAACAAAATCCACGTCAGCGAGGTCAGGACATCGATGAAAGTGCCGATGATCAGGAGACTGATGAAGATGCTAATGATCAAAACCCAGGACAGGAAGTTCGGGGCTCCAATGAAAATACCAATGATCGAAATTCACGTCAGGAAAACGATAAAAAGATCGTAAAATTGTTGAGTGGGGAAATTTAAAAGACACTGAATCACGTATGGGAATTATTTCACCGCATGTCACAACCGTATAGTCAATACCAGAACCCGATCTCTATGACAACCAAAATGCTACACTTAATTTAAATCTCCATGACAACCAAATAGTTTGACCAAAACAAAGAATGTTTTTTGGACTTTATTTGTAAAACATATTGCCGGAATGAAGTTAAAAACAAAGGTCTGCAAGAAAAACTCCTTAACAAATTCAGAGGCTTCAGAGGAAGAGAAACAAAAACTAACCAACTATCCACTGAGTTGTGTGGATTGGAGCAGCAACGAAGAGATCTATTTTGTGAGGTGAGTGTGTCTATAATTTGATAGATTTGAATAAGTGATAAATAATGATAATATATTAAATTTTCCCACAGCGACGACCTCCAGATCCTCAAGTGGAGCGATGTAAGTCGAGATTCTGTGGAGGTGGCCAAATTGCCGGATGACTTTGTGCCCACGGATCTGCACTGGCTTTTGTTGGGCGGCAGGAGCAGTGGTGGAGGCAAGGGTAGTGACAACCTGCTAATTTGCAGCAATGATGGAAGATTCGTTATCCTCAACAAAAGTGCCCGTGTGGAGCGAAGCATTTCTGCCCATGGAGCGGCCATAAGTTCCGGCCGCTGGAGTCCCGATGGAGCCGGTCTTCTGACCGCCGGCGAGGATGGTGTGATCAAGATCTGGTCACGATCGGGGATGTTGCGATCCACCGTGGTGCAGAATGATGAGGCCATTCACTGCGCCCGTTGGGCACCCAACTCCACCTCCATTGTATTTTGCCAGGGCGGACACATATCCATTAAACCACTGGCGGCCAACAGCAAACTCATCAGGGTTGGTACAAGAAAAATTTATATAATGTTGTAGAATTACAATTATTTGGGATCTATTTATTTACTTCGGTTAGAAAATAACACTTATTCTTTAATTTGTATAAGTTATACTTTGAGCTTTCTTTTAAAAATTTTTCTAGGAGCTATTTATTATTTTTTTAAAGAATATTTAGTTGTAAACAATTAAATTCAACCTTTCTAGTGGCGTGCCCATGATGGCCTGGTGCTCTCCCTCAGCTGGTCCTCTCAATCCAATGTCATAGCCTCCGGAGGCGAGGACTTTCGCTTTAAGATCTGGGATGCCCAGGGAGCTAATCTCTTTACCAGTGCCGCGGAGGAGTATGCCATTACGAGTGTGGCCTTTAATCCCGAGAAGGATTACCTGCTTGTTGGCACATTTAATCTGCTCAAACTGTGCCACAGCAATGGGGTGAGTCCTTATCAGACTTATAGTGCTAAATATATTTACCAATTCTAATAACTCTCAATTTTAGTGGACATATGACAGCGCTCGCTTCAGCACCCCAATTGTGGGCTCCTTCTATAACCTATCCTGGTCAGCCGATGGCACTCAAGTGGCCTGTGGCACATCCACTGGTCAATTGATTGTGGCCTATGCCATCGAGCAGCAGATAATCTCCAGAAACCTAAAGGCCACCACTAAAAGTCGCAAGTCGATTGCCTTGAAGGACATTGCCACTGGCACACAGGACATACTGGATTTCCCGCAGCGAGTGGTTAATTTCGGACTAGGCTATGGCCATCTGGTGGTGGCCACCACCCACCAAGTGCACATCTATAACGAGAAGTACATCAATACGCCTATTATTATCGACGGAAGGAATGATACAAGGGTTATTGAAGTGGGAAAAAAGTAAGTAAATTAGAATAGAACAATTAAATATATATTAATATTTGAATGATTCCCCTTCTATTTCAGGTACTTTATGATCTTAGATGCCTCATCAATATGGGTCTACACCTACACAGGTCGTTTGCACCTCAATCCGCGGTATCCGGGTTCCCAGGCACAGATTCCCCTGCTCACCTGGCGTTCGTTATCGTTGGGCCTCGATGTCCTGGCCGTTAGGGATAACTCCGATCCGACTTTGCTGCACTTGTTCGATCTGATTCCGGGTGCCTCCCGACAGTATGAGCCCCATTCCCTGAAAGCAAAGCAACAGCTGGCTGAAATTGCAGCCTGTCGAGCTGGAACTTCAGATGATCAGTTTGTGGCCTTTATCGACTCAAATCGAGAGCTTTTTGTGAGTGGTTCCCGTAATCTAAGTGGCGAACGCACCGATGAGATCTACAAGATCGGCACCCAACTCGCCTCGATTATGTGGGCCAGCGAGACAAACATCCTGGTGGGAGTGCACGACTCATGCTACAGCATCTGGTATTGTCCCGGGGAAGGGGCCGCCGATCCTACAATTATTGCTTTGACCACCATTACCTTGGATACGGCGTGAGTAACCTTAAAAAATTTACCATTACACCCATAAAATAATCCGCCCAAAAGTTTAGAAATTTTGAGTTCCTTAAATATTAAAATATTCTTTAGGAGTACTTCCCATTTAAAATTAAATTAAAATTTATTAACAAAATCGCCATTGACTCATTGA